TTTATGGGAGTTTCAGCAGCTGATAACTTTTTTCCTCTTCAAAAATCGCGTCCCGAGCGGTGCTCAAGAATTCGTGAGGAAAAGCTACAGTTTTACGAGATTGTTCAAGGATCTGTAATTTACTCGGCTTTTCTTGACTACAGATTTAAAGATCAGACATTCATTCGAATGATTTCAATTTTTCCGTCGTACAGTGAGTCTCCTCAAATGTACTGCCACTTTCTGGACTTGAGAACAGAAGAGCATTTTACCAGTGTAGTCGAAATTGAGGAACTCGGCACGAACGATGGATTTACTTTTCAAGGGTATCTGTCATCATGTGATCTGCCGGACGAAATAGATAGCTACACATTGTGTTCGGTGAATGTTTCCATGGAACCCGAGTCCTTCCGTCAAACAGACGAGAACACCAAACAAATTCCCTTACATGTCTCCGAAGATCAACCAGTAGATACGGAAACTTACGGACTTTGTATTCCGCCAATAAGCGGTGAAATATCCGCTGGAAGACTTGTTGAATTTCTTGAACTCTCAGAGATATTAGGAGTGTCACATTTCGTGTTTTATGATGCGAACCTTTCTGATAAAACCCTCCGAGTTCTCCAATATTACCAAGAAATAGGGGCTGTAACTCTGAACCCGTGGGCCCTGCCACAGAACATTGCTTCGAATATTCAAGATGATGGACAAACCGTTGCTCTGAATGACTGTCTGTATAGAAACATTGACCGGTTTAAATATGTGGCCTTTAACAAACTGGAGGAATTTATCGTTCCGCTTCAAAGTAAAAGGACTCTTGAAATCTTTGAAACTGAAAGTGACGAAGACACCGCTGGACTCTGCTTTCAAGGATTCACTTTCGATACATCAAAATTTGAGGAGAAAAGACCGCACATTCTTCTCTACACGCAGCGTTATGCCGCTAGGACTAAAGCCCCGACGGAGGAATCAGCAAGGTGTATTGTATCCCCTAAAAATGTTTTTTCTTTAGAATTAAATGCAATTTCTAACCCGTCAGAAACGTTTTACATTACCCGCAACGTGGAAACAAGCGTTGGTCACGTGTTCCGTTACGGAGAATGTAATTATGACGAGTGTAATAGTTCTTTCCAGGACCTCACCATGGTAAAATACCGTGAAGAGTTGGAAAAGAGATTTAATCTAACAATGATTTATTTACAGCAATATCGAGTAGTATGAGAAATTCAAAAAGGAAAACGTTGAAGGTCCTATTAGCAAAGAATAGTGACACAATCAAAGGCGTTGCTTTTCCAATTGAGTTAACGTTTACACCCTAACATCAGTATCTATATTCTCCATACTCTTCTCCATACATTTCCTTACGTCTGGACAAGGAGAATTTGTTTTACAATCAAAGCATCTTAGGTTGGCGATCATTTCCTTTATTCTCATGATATTAATGAATGATTCAGCAGTATAACTGTAAGGAGAATTTGGATGCTGGTCACTCTTAGGGTTTAAAGGGTTAAGGACCTGTCATCATTTATTGACTGGGGGGAGGGGTGGAGAATTTTCTTTTTTTGGGATCACACCTTTTTCATAGGAAATGGAGGGGGGTATTGGTCATAGCCAACAGAGCATGAAAGGGGGGGGGAAGCTATGGAACATTGACTGCCAATCAGGGGGGTATCATAAGAATACTACAGAGCCCTAAGGGGGGATAGGTAAATTTTATAATGACACAACCAAAATCCTCCAGCCCCTCCCTAGGGACAAATTATGACTGTTTCCTTACAAGGCTTTCATTAAGTACATGGCCATGGTATTTTTGGCGCCAAAAGAAGAACCCCTCTAAGGTGAATCAGTGACAAAAACTAAAGAGCATCCGCAGAAATGACATTGAAATTGTATCACTGAATTTGAAAGCCAAAGCAAAGAATTTTTTTGATATTTTCAATCCTGTAAGTGATTGACATGTAACCTCTCCCTATAACTCATTATAAAACAAGTGCTTAAAATAGATTATCTATTGGCTAGGGGGTTTAATCTTGATGCAATAAAATCTCTCAACAGGTGGCAGGTGAAGTGTTTTTTAGGGGACTACAGTTGGGCTGTATTGTCTTAGGACAATTTCTATAGGAAAAGTGGGCGTTGTTTTAATGTTAACCTTCAATGGTGTGGAAGACATGATGGCTTGGCAGTCAGCACAATGAATTTTGGAAAGAGGGATCTGGGTTTAAGCCCTTGACTAGGTCATTGTGTTGTACACCCC